GTATAGATGTTTTAATGATGTTAATTCTTCCAATCCATGAACACGGTATGTGCTTCCACTTTTTTATATCTTCCTCTATTTCTTTTTTCAATGACCTGTAGTTTTCTGCAAATAGGTCCTTTACTTCTTTGGTTAAGTTTATTCCTAGGTATCGTAATTTTTTGGGCGCGATGGTAAATGGGATTGTTTTTTCAGTTTCTCTTTCTGTGAGTTCATCATTGATGTACAAGAATGCCGTCGATTTCTTGATGTTAATTTTGTATCCTGCTACTTTGCCAAATTCATTTATTAATTCCTGTAGATTTTTGATGGAGTCTTTAGGGTTTTCTATGTATAATATCTTGTCATCTGCAAATAATGACAGTTTCACTTCCTCCTTTCCAATGTGGATCCCTTTTATTTTTTCTTCCTGTGTGATTGCTGTGGCTAAGACTTCTAGTACAATGTTAAATAAGAGTGGTGAAAGTGGACATCCCTGTCTGTTCCTGTTCTTAATGGAAATGTTTTTAGTTTCTGTCTATTGAGTATGATGTTGGCTGTAGGTCTTTCATATATGGCCTTTATTATGTCAAGATATGATCCCTCTATTCCCACATTGCTGAGCGTTTTTATCAGAAATGGATGCTGGATTTTGTCGAATGCTTTTTCAGCATCTATTGATATGGTCATGTGGTTTTTCTTCTTCATCTTATTTATGTGGTGTATCACATTTTTTGATTTGCGAATATTGTAACAGCCTTGCATCCCTGGAATGAATCCCACTTGGTCATGGTGAATACTTTTTTTGACGTATTTCTGGATTCGATTTGCTAATATTTTCTTCAGGATTTTGGCGTCTATGTTCATCAGGGATATTGGCCTGTAGTTTTCTTTTTCTGGTTTTAGAATTAGAATTATGCTCGCCTCATAGAATGTGTTTAAAAGTCTTCCTTCTTCTTGAATTTTTTGAAATAGTTTGAGGAGAATTGGTGTTAGTTCTTTTTTGAATGTTCGGTAAAACTTCCCCGTGAAGCCATCTGGGCCTGGGCTTTTGTTTGCTGGGACAGTCTTGATTACCTCTTCAATTTCCTTAGTTGTTATTGGTCTGTTCAAGTTTTCTATATCTTCCCGGTCCGGTTTTGGGAGACTATGTGTTTCTAGAAATTTGTCCATTTCGCTTAGATTGTCGAATTTGTTGCCATATAGTTGTTCATAGTAGTTGTTAACAATCTTTTGTATTTCCGTGGTGTTGGTTGTTGCTTCTCGTCTTTCATTTCTGATTTTGTGTATTTGGGTTCTCTGTCTTTGCTTCTTGGTGAGTCTAGCTAAGGGTCCATCAATCTTGTTTATCTTTTCAAAAAACCAGCTCTTTGTTTCATTGATCCTTTGAATTGTTTTTTTTTGGTCTCTATGTCATTTATTTCTGCTCTGATCTTTACTATTTCCTTCATCCTACTTGCTCTGGGGTTTTCTTTTTGTTTGCTTTCTAATTCTTTAAGTTGTGAGGTTAGACAGTCAATTAGAAATTTTTCTTGTTTTTTGAGGTAAGCCTGTAGTGCTATGAACTTCCCTGTCAGAACTGCTTTCGCTGCATCCCATAGATTTTGTGTTGTTGTGTGTTCATTTTCATTGGTTTCCTGGAAGTTTTTAATTTCTTCCTTGATCTCTTGGTGACCCATTCATTGTTTAATAACATGCTATTTAGCTTCCATGTGTTGAAATGTCTTTGCATGTTCTTGTTGCAATTGATTTCTAGTTTCATGCCATTGTGATCTGAGAAGATGCTTAATATGATTTCAATCTTCTTGAACTTGTAGAGATTTAGTTTGTGTCCTATCATGTGGTCTATCTTTGAGAATGTCCCATGTGCACTTGAGAAGAATGTGTATTTTGTAGTTTTGGGTGTAATTCTCTGTAGATATCTATTAAATCCATTTGGTCTAGTGCTTCATTTAGAGTCTCTGTTTCCTTGCTATTTTTTTGCCTAGAGGATCTATCCAGTGCTGTCAACAGGGTGTTGAAGTCCCCTGCTATGATTGTATTGTTGTCAATTTCTCCTTGGAAGTCCTCCAGAAGATTTTTAATATATTTTGGTGCTCCTGTATGGGGTGCATATATGTTTATCAAGGTTATCTTCCTGTTGGATAGATCCTTTCAATATTATATAGTGGCATTCTTTGTCTCTAGTTATGGTCTTCATTTTGAAATCTATTTTATCAGATATGAGAATTGCTACCCCAGCTTTTTTTTGCTTTCCATTTGCTTGGAAATTATTTTTCCATTCCTTCACTTTCAACCTATGTGAGTCTTTTGTTGTGAGGTGGGTCTCTTGTAATCAACTTAAAGATGAGTCATGCTTTCTTATCTAATCAGCTACTCTGTGTCTTTTTATGGGAGCATTCAATCCATTTATGTTTAGGGTGATTATTGATATGTATTTATTTATTGCCATTTTTGATTAGTGTGGTTCTATTTTTCTTCCCATTTCTACTGCTAATTACAGCAGTCCTTTTAACATTTCTTGCAGTGCTGGTTTGGGGCTAATGTATTCCCTTAGCCTTTTTTTGTCTGGGAAGCTCTTTATTTGATCTTCTATCTTGAATGATAGCCTTGCTGGGCAGAGTAGTCTTGGATTCAGATTCTTGTTTTTCATGACTTTGATTACTTCATGCCATTCTCTTCTGGCCTGTAGTGTTTCTTGTGAGAAGTCAGCTGAGAGCCTTATGGGGTTCCCTTTGTAGGTAACCTGTTGCTTATCTCTTGCTGCTTTTAGGATTCTCTCTTTTTCTTTAATTTGTGGCATTGTAATGACTATGTGTCTTGGTGTGGGCCTGTTTGGGTTCTTCTTACTTGGGACTCTCTGTGCTTATTTAAATTGAATGATTCTTCCTTCACCAAATTAGGGAAGTGTTCTGTCACTACTTTTTTTGAATATAATCTCTATCCCTTGCTCATTTACTTCTTCTTCGGGGACTCCTATGATGCGAATATTATTACGGTTCCACTTGTCCCATAGTTCTCTTAAGCTGTCTTCCTTTTTTTTAAATAGTTTTTTCCTTTTGTTTTTCTGATTGGTTGATTTTTTCTACCCTGTCTTCTAATTCACTGATCCGGTCCTCAGCTTCCTCTACTCTGCTTTTTAAACCTTCTAATGTGTTTTTCATTTCGGATATGTCATTTTTTATCTCTTCTTGATGATTTTTAATTTCCAATTGGCTTATTTTCAGTGTATCTATGTCCTTACTCATGCTGTTCAGCTTCCTCAAGATCATGGCTCTGAATTCTAGCTCTGTTAACATGCCTAATTGCTCCACATTGATCTCATCTTCGGTGGAGGTCTCTTGCTCTTTCATTTGGCTTCTGTTTCTGTGTTTCACCATTTTGGCTATCACTGTGGGCTTTGGAGCCTGTCAAGTTTTCCCTGTGGGTGTTGGTGTTCTGCTGTTTGTGGCTCCCTCTCCTGTGTTTAGATGAGCGTGGGAGGACCCACGTTAAAAACCACTGTCAAGTCTTACTTTCCTGGTTAAAGTTGCCTGACCAGGAAAGGTACTGTTATCCTCTAGCTTTTTGCCTGGAGGCTAGCAGTCGAGGTTACTTCCTGAGCTTTGGGTTGTCAGTTGATTGAAAAGCTCCCTCAGGTGCTTAGCAGAAGGGGTTTTCCCAAGGGTGGGGCAGATGCTGGTTGTTAGTGAGCCTCAATTAGCACTTCAATGGCCCACAGGCTGGGGTTGGATCTCCGAGGGAGGGGCTGCTGCCTCTCCCCAGAGCCCTGGGAAGGAGCAATATGCCCACCGTCCTGGGCGGCTACACTCAGCCAAAGCTCTGAACGACCTCCAAATCCCGAGTGTCCCAACACAGTTCCAGTCCAGTCTGCACTCCCTCTGCCGGAGCCCAAGGTGAGTGGCTGTGGCTGTTTTAGCCTCTTTCCTGGCTCTGCACTGTGGAGCCGCCTGGGAGTGTAACCCGAGGGCGCCGCTCCCAGCTGAGGCTGCTGCCGAGCTGCCGACCGTGGGCTCCCAGCCCCCGTCTCGTGCCTTCGCAAGCCTACCGGGATGGAGTCAGTGTCCCTCATCGTATGGTCCTCGCAAGGTGCTTTTCTGTTGGTTTTTCCCATCGATTTGTCTGTGTTATAGTTGTAATTCCAGTTTGGTTCTGGGAGATGGTCTTTGTAGCTTCCGTTCACTCCGCCGCCATTTTTCCTTCGTAAATCGAATTATTTTAAAACACCCTTCCCTTTAATTACTTTGTATACTTTATGCCATTTTCTTCTGGCCTGCAGTGTTTCTATTGAGAAGTCAGCTGAACGTCTAATGGGATCTCCCTTGCAGGTAACTTTCTGACTCTCTCTTGCTTCCTTCAAGATTCTTTCTGTGTCTTTAATGTGTACCATTTTTATTATGATGTGTCTAGCTGTGGGTCATTTTGGGTTCGTCTTGCTTGGGCCTCTCTGTGTTTCCTGGACTATGTGACTTTTTCTTTCAGCAGTTTAGGAAAGTTTTGTCATTATTTCTTCAAACAGGTTCTCTATTCCTTTCTTTAATTCTTCTCCCTCTGGTGTCCCTACAGTGTGAATGTTATTACATTTGTGTTGTCCCTAAGCTTCCTTAAACTCTCTTTCTGATTTTTAATTTTTGCCTTTTTTGCTGCTCTATTTGTGTGTTTTCTTTTTCTACCTTGTCTTCTATCTGATTCGGTTGTCATCTTCTTCTAATCTACTATTGAATCCTTCCAAGATATTTTTAATATCAGCTATGTCATTCTTCATTTTCACTTGATTTTTATTCATAGTGTTTACATCTCTTTTTATGTTGGTGTAGTTCTTATTAAGTTTCTTGTAATTTTCTTTTTTTTTTTATATTTGAAATTTTAAGGTCAATTTATTAAGTTCATTGATGAAAGCTTTCAGAAGAATATTCTCCTGATAATTATTTCTTCTTAGAAAAAAAAAAAAGAAAAATCAACACCCTTTCAGCATAGCCACAGATGCTGTGGCAGTCAAGCCTCTCTGCAGACAGGGATGGTCCATCAATCGGTCAAGTCACTCTCAGGGTCAGCAGGATTGTAGTCTGGATCATCCTCCTCATCTTCCAGCTCCAAGTCATCCATTTCCTGGAACAAAGACTCATCTACCTCCACATTGTTTCCAGCATCCTCCAAGAACCGGATATCAGATGTGTCAAGATTATGATCTGTTTCAAATAGCTGTTTCCAACTTAATTTATTTTTTCCTGCTTGTTCTTCTTCTTTCATTCGTTTCTTTTTAATTTCCAAAAGTTCTGCATCAAACTTGGCTTTCCAACTTAAGAAATTCTCAATTGTAACAGGAGTGCCATGAAATAATTGCTTTTCGGTTTCTTCTGCTTCTTTTTTCTTTCTGTTTCTTTTCTTCTCTTCTAGTTTTTATTTGATCCACTATTTCATTTAGTTTTTCTTGCACGGCTGTCACTAAAGTAAAGATCATCACCATACCAAGGTTTTCTTCTGCCTGTAATGCTAATAATTTTAAAATGTTTGAGACAGCATTATCTTCTAGATTTTCCTGGGAGAATATTTCATAAAGGGGAGCTTCATCTGGGTACTTCTCACTATATGTAAACTTGAGGGTAGTCTGGACAGTTTCATCATTCTCTCCAGCATCAGATGTCACAGTAATGGTGAAGCTGGGAGGATTTTCTGATAATACTGTAAAGGAGTCGGGGTAGATGGACTCCAGAGCCTCCAGCTCGTTGCGCTGCTCCTCGCTGTAATCTGTCATCGCGGCCCTCGCTGCTGCCCACGGATCGCGCAGACACCCAAGCGGTGCACTGCAGCCGGGACCACAGCCGTGCCGGGAAAGCAGGCAGCTGCTGGGAAAGCAGGCAGCTGCCGGGCGGGCGCAGGCGCAGAGTCCCCGGCAGGGAGGTCCGGAGCCCAAAGCCAGGCCTGGCCTGCTGAGCACCAGCCCCGTGCTGGCATCCGCCTGCTCCTTAGCTCCGCGCTCGACTGGCCGAGCCTGGCCAGCGGGGCACCGAGGAGCGGCCCGTCCCACGCCCTGTCGGGATTTGCAGGGATGGCGAAGGCTCCCGGCCTGGCATTCGTCACAGACACCTAGGGCCGGTTCCTGGGCCTTGCAGGGCCCAGCCTGAGAAGCCCCTCAGCGCTGCATCCGCGCTGGATGACAAGTTTCTTGTAATTTTCACTAAGATGTCTGAGCACCCTTAAAACCATTGCTTTGAATTATTGATCTGACAAAGTGCTTGCTTTCATTCCTGTAGTTCTGTTTTTGGTGATTCCTTTTTCTTTCTTTCTTTCTTTCTTTCTTTCTTTCTTTCTTTCTTTCTTTCTTTCTTTCTTCTTTCTTTCTCTCTTTCTCTCTCTCTCTCTCTCTCTCTCTCTCTCTCTCTCTCTCTTCTTTCTTCTTTTTAATATGGAACTTGCTTCTTTTTCTCACCATTTTAACAGTCTGGTATTTTGGGGCCAAGTAAAATGTGTTTGGTCATTTAGGCAGGTCATGTGTATCAGATTAGATTTTTATGCCTCCCAATCTTGTTGTGGTGGCCTTCTTGTGGGACCAGTGGAGTAGTTTCCTTCATTTTCTGAGCTGGGTTCTCTAGGAATGATCCTTATGTGGGTTACGTGGGCTCTCTTGTTGAACTTGGGTTTTGATTGTTTTTCATTTGTGAATGGCCTCAGTCTTCTGGGTTGCTAACTATGAGTCTCAACTGTCTACTCTGTCATGCCAATTGTTATATAAGTTTTGACAGCACAAACCAAAGCAAACCAGACCAAACTAAAAAAAAAACAGCCAAAATATCAGCATCAACAATATTAAAAGCAACTCCCTCAACAAAAAGATTAAAAGACAGACAAACAAACAAAAAACACACTTATTCACACACACAAAAACAAAAATTAGGAAGAGGTGAAAGATCAAAACAATTAGAAGAGGGAGAGAAAAAAATAAGAGAAAGCAAGGTACAACCAGTATAAATAAGAAAGAACCTTACAAAAACATATCAGCATCAACAATGATAAAAGCCTTATTCTCAACACAAAGATTGAAAGACAAAGAAACCGAAAACACACACACACACACACACACACACACACACACAAAGAAGAGAATACTAGAAAGTATGAGACTAAATGAATTAGAAGTGGGAGAGAAAAATTATATAATAATATGAAAATAAAAAAGGCAAGGCAATAGCAGACCAAACTAAAAAGCACCTTTAATAAAACATCATGAACAATGATAAAAGCACCAGGCTCAACAAAATGTTTAAATACAAACAAACAGAAAACACACACACACACTCACAAAAAGAGTACCAGATGGAATGAAACCAAAAGGTTAGCAGAGGTAAAAAAAAGGAGAAGAAAAAAAAAGAATATAAAAGCATAGAGACAGAGACCAGAAATAGGGTAAGTATAAAAAATGAAGGTTGAAAATAATGACTGAAATAATAAAAATAATTTTAGAAAGCAATAATGCTACATTAAATAAAATATAGAATAGGAAAATATAAAATGGAAAAATAAAATAATTGAATTAAAAGTTAATGTTTAAAAAAATACAAATACCAAACAACAATAAAAATAAATCTTTAGTCCGTTATTTATGGAGCTCACCGGATTTTGCTCTGATATTGGATCTGGCCCCTTGGATGTGGTTTTCTGTCCTTTTGGGCAGTTCTCTGGTGCAGGCCAATGTGAATCACTATCCCTGCCTGGCCCTTGGCCACCTGGCTGAAGCCCTGCAGGGTGGGGTCCCAGGAGTGCTCTTGGCGGAGCTTCCCTAACCCAGAGGCTAAGTCAACTTCAGGGCTCTCCAGTTGTATGCATTTATTCTGGGCTGCTTTCCCTTCTCCCACAACACTGGACTTTATGGAGTTTCAGGTCCGATCAGGGTGGTTTAAACAGATTTGTGTTGGAGTTGGTACCTGTAGCTTAAAGGAGAGGCAGGCAGTGTCTTTCTCCCCTTCCAATTCCTCAGCTCTGCCTGACTTGTTGGCAACCCCTGGTTACCACCCGAAGCAGGGGAGAACAGGAAAAAAAAAATGAAAAAGAGAAGAAAAGAATGAAGTCCTGTCTGGTTTGATTCAGTGGTTAGAGCAAACCAAGAGTCACGGGTTTAATTTTAGCCAAGGGCACATATCTCTGTGAAGGTTCCGTCTCTCTCTTTCTCTCTCTCTCTCTCTCTCTCTCTCTCCCCCCCCCCCCCCCACTCTATCTGAAATCTGAAGATAAATGGAAAAATATCCTTGGCTGAGGATTAAAAATAATAATAATTTAAAACAAGAATATAATGAAAAAAACAAAAAAGAATTCCCTGCTTGACTCTTTAATCTTTTAGCCTGGCTGGCCTGCACTGGGCTGGGCTTCTGCAGGCTGCCTCCTGACCAGATGTCCAAATCCTCAGTGCTGTCAGGTCCTGCCATCGGGTGCCAATTTCCAGCTGTTCCACAAATGGGGGAAGGGGGCGCATCCTCTTTGCTGGTGGTCATGGAGAGGAACATGAATCTTTCTCCAGGCACTCTGGCTAGCCCCATCAAAGTTCTTTCAGTGACTACCTGGTCCCTCAGTTTCACTGCTGTGTGATTCATTCACCCAGACCCCTTCTCAGGTGTGCTGTTCTACTTTGTTTGTTCTCTGGCTCCCACAATCAGGAGAGCTTTCCAGGTTGGCTCTGCAACCACTTGCTGTCTTTTAGCCTGAGATAGTGCTGATTTCCCCTAGTGGACCAAATCAGCTCTGATTCTTATTTTCTGATGCTACATGGGCTCTCCTTCCCTTCTCTGTTGCCCTTGTCTGGGGATCTATGTGTGTGGCTGAGTCCCTCACTCTCAGGGGGCAGGAACTGTGCCACAGCACCTTCCCTCTGTCGTCCCAGCCATGCTGCAGAACTGCATAAGTTTGCTCACACACTTTGCGTCTTCTTTTGTCTCCTGTCCATGCTCCTTGCTCACAGTATTTCCAATTAGATATTTTCAGGTGGTTTTATAAGTTGAAAGCTCTGCAGGTTAACCTCAGGTCCAGTCCTGTGCTTATAGCAAGCAGATGGAATGTTCTTAGGCTTGAGCCATCTTGCCTCCTCTCTTTGAGATGCTTTCAATCTTTGGGGATAATAATCACAATAATAATAACCAGAATAAGAATAGCTGCACCAGAAGAAACAATAATTCTTTTCTTTTCGTTGTTTACCTGTCATTCTTATTAAAAAGATATTTGCTGTAATGTGTGTGTGCATTTGCATTCACACAGGTGTGTATGTGTGTGTGTGTGTTTGTGTGTGCATGCGTGTGCACTCCAAGAAACTGAACTTGAATTGTGATTCTCAAGATGTGGCTCCTGGTGTTATATTTGAAATAAAACACAGAAAATTTTGGAAGATCTTAAACAAGTTAATTGAGCTCCATATTTCTGCTTTTTATTTTTTTAAATAATAATTTTAAAAAATCCTATTCTCTTAAGTCTACTTGCCCACCACACTCTGTTGATGTCTTAAGGTCAGTCTCTAACTGATTTTTACTGCAAGAATGCAAAGAAAGAGAAGACTGTTTTGGACTAAGTTGGAAAGCTATCCCACGAATAGCAGGTAGGTTTCATCACCTTGCTTTAGTATAAATTAAAACAGATTGTGTTTTCGCCACACCCACAACAGAAAATAAATATTTGGCAATTCTGGTCACATATTTATTACAAGATATGTCATAAAAGTTCCAGAATAATTATAAGTTAAATTCATAAATAGGTTAAAAGAGTTATTAGGCTGGTATACATCAGCATGTGGGCGGGATTTAGTGGAGCCTTTTTTCTTATTGAAGAACTGATCAGATGACTTACCAGCTGGAATTTAAATGATTGTTGTACAATAAAACAGGACTTTAGTTACCTTTTGCTGTGTTCCAAATGACAACTGTAATTTTAAATATATTTTATTCTTTGTAAAAATATGTTCTCTTCATAAAAAGAGAGGACAGGTATATCTTAGATGTGGGCGTGTTTCTACAGAGTACAACTTGCATGAAAAAATCAAAGAGAAATTAAAAGTGACATATCAATAAAGAAAAAAAACTGTTGAAGTTTAGTAACTGGGTTGTAAGAGAAGCCATGCACAACATAGTTGTCCCTTCAAGGTCTGAAGTAAATGGATTGCAGACTTAGTAAAATGATGTGTAATTGGAGCTCAGCTGTGAACACTGATATTTTTAATGCACGTTGCTTTGTTGAAACTCTCTCAGAATCCTAAAAAGTCTGACCATTTCAGATGCAAAATATAGCATTAAGAATTGTATAATACAAAATATTATATATCCAAAATATATATTATAATTAAATTACAACACTTTCTTAGATTACAATTTACTCTTTTATGTAAAACTATTTTATTTGATGAATGAAAAGAGAAACCCAAATTAGCTTTCTTCATTTGTACTGGGCTCTAATAACATGAATTGGAACTTTTGTAAAATTTTGAGTTTAATAAATAGATACTTATATTTCAAAACCACCTAGAGCTTAAAATTGAGTATTAATTTTTTTCTGGGCTCTTAAAATCTCCAATGTATATTAAAAACCCTTTATAGATAAGGCATGTTAAATTTAAATATGTAGTAATAATAACCTAATTTTTTAGTTCCTTTAATAATATGAGTACTCTCATATTTATTCATTTACTAATTCAATATTTTTTGTAATACCTACTATGTACCAAACACTGTTTCATTTGTTAGAGATAATGTAGTAAATAAAAAATATAAGCATCTGTTTTTTATAAAATTT